ACGTATATGCTTCTAATCATGTGCGAGTGGTGGTCAAAGAAAACAAAACAGTTTAATTCCAAGATATGCCAATGCTCACGAGGAGCAAGTTTGTTCCGTCTGGTCAAAAGCTGCAGACGGGTGGCGAGGGTGTGAAAGCAACCGATGATTGACAGGGATACATGTTTTGGATGTATGCATGCCCGTCATCGCCTGCAAGGTATGGGGCAGCTCGCTGTATCTTTCAACGGCAAACACAAATGAAGGAATTTGGCATCCAATAACATGCACGCAAACAAAGCATTCGATCCGATGGAAGCACACTCACGATGATTTGGTAAACATGCCCATTTCTTACCACCTGGGGCAGGGGTGATGCAGTTGATCTCATTGCTGCAAATTTATGGGCGAATGAGCACGGAAGACGCACCGAATGTTGTTTTCTCCTTTCCGCAGGATCGCGCTGGTGCCGAAGCTGGCCGTCAAGCTGGCGCACCGCCAGCTGCGCAAGCGCCTCTCGATCGGCAGCCAACATCTCATCCAGCGATGGTCTGGGTTCCAAAGCAGCCCAAGCCCACAAGCGCACGACAAGGGAAGAACTCTCAACGCATCGAGCCCGCGGCAACGACCCCCGCCGCGAGCTCTCAAGCGCCCGCTGGCGGCGCTCTCGCGGGGGCAAGCATGCGGGCCCCCAGTGGCAGGGCCGCCGCATCGCAGCGAGGCAACAGCCAGGTTCAGGTGTGGGTGGAAATTCGGAAAGGCGGCCACAATGCCGCCCAGCGGCACCGAGCGGATCCCGCCAACCCCGAAGGAAGGGCCCGTTCGAAGTCCGCCGGTGGGGCCGGGCAGCAAATCGACCCGGGTCGCATACCGGAGCCCAGTACAAGGGACTTTGGATGCCAGTTTCCTGAGCGTCCGCAAACCGTGGTGCTGGCCCGCAGCCCCTCGGAGGCCCGCGCGGCAAACGGCGAAGCCTCACGCAGGAATGGACAGCCCTGCCACGGCCCCGGCACGGGCGCCCGGGCCTCAAGAAACGAGCTGGGACGGCGCCCATCTGGGTCGAGGCAGGTTGCCTGCATCCGACATTTTCCAGGTCAGGGGGACGCCAAGATGTACTACGCACCGACTGGCAGAGCCTGCAGTCGGGCGGGAGGGTCGAGCCCTGTCCACCGACCAAGGCAAGCCCCAGCACTGGCATCTGCCAGGATCACGGCCCACGGTTCAGGAACGAGAACTGTGCCGCGTCCCCTGCACTCGCCAGGCGACAGGGACGGCGCCAGTGGGCTCAATCGACGGCCTGACGCCCCTCGCGGCCTGATCCAGGCGGGGAGGCCGGCGCAACAGCGCCCGGGTGTGCACATGGTGGCCGACCTTGAGCAGGGCCTCATCAAGGCCGGCGGGGCCCCCCGCGGGGGCCACCCCCCATCGGGCTTCGGGGCTCCGTCGGCGCAGCTTCCGCCGAACCGCCCGCCGGGCAGCCTGGACCTCCCCCGCCGGTCGCAGCTGCAGGACGGGCCCAGCGGATCGCCGCACGGAAACCCAGCTGCCGCAACTTTAAATTTGCGCCCGTCCTCCACGAGTGGTGGGGCTGATCACTACACCAGGCGAACCCATTTTGAGCGCCAGTCGGAGCCCGCTGGGCGCCCAACTTACGTGACCCCACCCGGACTCGGAAGCGGCGACCGGCTATGCTGCGCCCCGTCGCGAGAGATTGGCATTAGGCAATCCGGCGGCACCCACGGAGGACATCCGTCGAGAGGCGCTTCCGATTGCAGTCCGGAGGCGCGTTCGCACAGCGCCCATGTGAACGTGTGGCCCGCCCCTCGCCTGCGGGGAGAGAGATCATATCCGGCGGGCGGGTCGCTCGATCCGGCCGCCGCGCCATTCATTCCGGCGCCCGAGGGCCATCGCTTTCGCGCTGGAGGGGACGGGCGCGACGGCCACTTCAAGGTCCGTCACACCACCGGTGGGTCGCCTGTTATGTACTGCGCTGAGAGACATAGGGGAAGAGCTGTGTGAAGGCGGGGGGCGTTCTGTGTGCCGTTGCAGTCCGCCTTGCAGGGGGCGCAGGCGGGCCCACAGGCTGGGTGGGGTGCTGCTGCACCGAACTGGAGCCTCGAACGGGCGAAAGCGGTGAGTCGTTCCGGCGGAATCGAAGCGCGGAGGGTGCAGTCGTAGGGAGCAGGGCCAGGAGCTCCTGGAGAACCCTCGAGGGCTCTGTCCAAGCGTGAGGCGCGGGAAGAATTGAAGGTGTTTTACGGTGCCCGGGAAATGGAGCGAATTGATTGCGTGGCGGTGTTCTTGGCAGAATCAGTTGCGGTGCCCACAGGCGCTTGGTGCGTTGAACGCCGAGTCTGAAATCTGCACCGGCGCTGCGTCATCTCCGAAGGTGCCAGAAGTCTTGTAACTGGGTGTGTGGCGGTACAGGTTTGTTCCTCCATAAGTTTCGCTAGAGGATTTTCTCAGGTTCGCTGGTGTGAACTTGGTCACAGTCCATGCCGCCAGGATATTAAATTCGTAGCTTTGCGTGCGAACATGAAAGGGATGAAGGGAAGAGAGGGAGGAGAGTGAATCAAGGACAAGCTCATTTGCCTTGAACATGTTCAAATTTTCACATGTGTGCGAATGTGCCTGTGTTATGCTTGTTTTGCAAAGTTACCTTGACAGCAACAACAAGTTTTTGATAAATCAACAGCTACACCACAAAAGTTGCAGCTTGGAAGATATTCACGTACCCAAGCTCTCAGTTGCACAGCAAAGGGGGAATCAAGGTGCCGTACTGTTACAGTGCTGTGCAGCGTGAGCATTGTTTTGTTGCCATTTAGGAATGGTAGCATGCTCAAGAAGATCTTCTTGGGATGTAAAAGGGGCAAAACGGGGCGTATTGCCACCAACGGGATTATCAACCCTGCGTTTGGACTTTGGGTGGCTTCCCAGCCTCGTCACCCTCATCACACTGACTGAGTGCTGCGGCTGTTTGCATCGATGTGAGAAATGCACTGTGCCAACAAGATGCAATTGTTGGTAATTGGACTTTCATCGGAGCTGCCTGCCCGCCCATCGAGGCAATTTGATGAAGACTTCTCATGACTTCTACCCTGTGTGATGTCAGTACACAACAAAAGGCGAAATTCGCCCCTCTCCCCTGCCCCAAGCCTGTCCCTATAGAAAATAATCGGAAACAGAACAAAGTGCGAGCATGACGAGGGGTGCGCACTTTAGGGCTGCTACCGCCGAAACCAATTTCACCAGCCCTGTTCACCGTTTGCCCTTGAGGTGGCTGCGCCTGGGTTGGCGGTGAATGCGCCAATTTGCGACCATGTTGATGCCATTCAGTGCATGGTATGGATGAACTATTCCGTCTTTTGTTTTATCCCTCTAGCGTTAGAGCATCTTTATTGGTCGGCGCTATTGCACCGGCGGAGTTATCCAGGAACGGTTCTCATTGGCTGCCGTGCCACGCTACTAAGGCGGCATTTGCCGAATAGCGCCGGTGCTACTGCTCCCCTGCGCGCATCCGCAATGGTGGGTGCTATGCCTACGCCGAATAGCATCATGGCAGCACTACAATGTTCTGCACAAATAGCACCGGTGCTATTCTGGGGGGCTATTCGGCCCCGAGCGGTGCTATTCGAGGCCAAAATAGCGCCGCTCGGGGCCGAATAGCTCCGGGGGTGCTATTGGGGTGCTATTGCTCCCCAACCGTTAATAGAATTAACTATCCTGTTAATGAGTTTCTGCCTAGGACGACGATTGGGTGGGCGCGCGACGGCCAGGTCGGGCCGTTCCGCCCTTTGGGACAGTTTGGGCCATCCATCAGCCGGTTTCTGTCACCCCTGTACTCGGGGTCAGTACAGCCCGACGCATCCAAGGGCGGTGGGGTTGATCCTTGTACCTTGGACGCAGCCAAGGGGACCGGTCAAGCTGGCCCTTGGGTTTGGCGGGGAGTTTGGCGGCAAGTGGGAGCGGCTATTTTAGGCGCGACCCGTGGCGCCCCCCTTTATCTTGTTTCGCACCCGCCCGGCCCACCCTAATAGAGTGAGTTCGGTTAGCTGTGGGATGGAGAGGGAGTTGAGTACGAGAGAAGAGGGACTGACTCTGAGTTGAGTCACCATCAGAGTGGCATTAAGTACTATGCGAAGCGAGGGCACATTTCAAGTGGGTCGCCAATCGGGTCTTGTTTTAGTGAGGTGATGGACACCAAACTGTGAGTGTTGTAATGTATTGTCGTGTGGGGAACACGGGGGGGGGTTGAAGGAGACCGGTAAGGCAGAAATGATGGTTTTTTGACGTGCGGTGCTATTCGGATAGCCGAATAGCTCCGCCGGGACAATAGCACCCACCGATAAAGATGCTCTTAATATACTATCGTTGCTGCTCATTTTGCCCCTGCAAGACTGTGGTGCTTTGCTCACCACATTCCCCAACCAGCCCGTCAGGTCCTTCCTGGCGATGCGGCTGATTGTGACTGACTGGTCGGCCGCAAAGCAGGTTGTCCGCTAGATGTAGTATTGAAGTAGTACTAAAACAAACAGCTGGGCTGGGCAGCCCAGCGAGTATCGAATGAAGCCCACGCACCAAGTGCAACAGACAGTTGCTGGCTGCTGCCGGAGACCGTCGCCAGGAGCCTTTGGACGGAGCCCCGCGCACCGCCACAGGCACTTTCCGTCGCATGGCCGTCCGGCAGGCGTGGGTCATGTGGCGCATCTAGCGGGTGAACACCTGCCTGCAGCGCCCCGGAGAGTCGCCGTTGCTGCGTGCGACGAAGGTTCCGGCTTCGAGGAGGTGAGGGAAGGGACGTGAGGCGCTCGGCACTGCCGCTCTGCAGTGAAGGCGCGAACACACGAAATCGACAGCATTGATGTCATCAGCAAGCCGCCACGATTGGTGCAGAAGCGGATAAACACGGCATGAAATAGGCACTCCCGCGCAAGAAAGAACGCGCAAGATTGCTGTCCATGCTGTTTGAGATCTACACATGCAAGTGCACCAGAATGTTGACCTTTGGATGTGTACATCAGATGTACGAGATGCAAAGATGCCATGTTACTGAGCAGGTGTTTTTCACCTTTGATGACATCAGGGGGAGGGACAAAGCAAACTGCCAGCCCATCAACACGGCGATGACGTGGCAATGTGCTAATGCTGCAGTCTTTTCGTTGGGAAGTTTTGGTCTTTCTCGTTTGGTATTAGGGTTCAATGCAGAAAGGGTCCACACCGGCACTGCACCATTAATTGGATGTCGATGACGGGCAGATTGAAGAATGTACAACAATGGTTCATGGAGTATTTGACTGCTCAATGTGTTTGCAGTGTGGCAACAGATTTGCGGTCGCGTCGGGGCTTGGCTCTGACCAGGAAGGTGGGGATTCTTGAGCTTGGGCTGGGAAATTCACCACATGCCTTTAACAGCGTGGTTGTGCCTTGCAGTTTCTGTCCTGGGTTTTCGAGTTTACCCACTCCAACAGTAGTTTCACAGGCCTCTGATGCTGGAAATGATTTTCAGTGTTGACCAGCACATCGCAACAGGAGCTTTACTGTACATAGTGAACTGGAGGGTCACACCCTTGAAATTATGCAGTTCTGGCACAATGAGATGCCTGACCATTGATCGCTGGCCTTTATAGATAGAATCACCAAATCCTGTGTGCTGGGTGTGGACTTTGGTCAACGCCATACGGGACTGGCCATAAGCAGCACAGGGGGATTCGCTGCCAGACCTTTAAAGGTACAGGTGTCGATGCCAGGCTCTGACGAGTGTGTGTTCTTGTCCTTTGGATGTTTCCAAAGCATGCTGCTGGTACCTGCATCTCCTAATTCTGCATTTGCATCTGCATGCTTTATGCTCTGAATGATTTAGTTCAACTCGCAATCTGCCTCATCGGTTGAAATTGCGAAAATAGGTTTGACCTAGCCCAAACGAAAGTTCAGCCTAGTCCATACTCAGTGGAGGGAAATCCTAATCCAAATTGTGGGAAAACGAAAGTCCAAACTGATGTTCAACCTAGTGCAGCCATATGCAGCACAGATGTGTTGATACCCTACATTTCAGAAGATGGAAGCCGCGAAGGCCTTGTCTTTTTGATTTTTTGGTTTTTGCACTTCAAGTGCATTTTAGGATGTTTAGGATGTTTTAGTGTTTAGGGCGTTTTAGTGTTTAGGGTGTTTTAGTGTTTAGGGTGTTTTAGTGTTTAGGGTGTTTTAATGTTTAGGGTTTGGTTTTCTTGTTTGTAAGGTCGAGCCACTACTTGAACTAGGTTGAACCTTAACTTGAACCAGGTGTTCCCTCCACTTGAAATGGACTAAATTGGATCTCAATTTGGACTAGGTTGACCCTGTACACCCATTTAAATTAGCATAGCAATGCTAAGGCTGCAAAACCTTGTAGAGACTTAGAATGCATTTGGCCACGGAAATTTGTGGGCTGTATTAGTACCGGATCAATGTAGAGCAGCTGACAATATTTTGGGCTGGTAAATGTTCAGCAGGAATCAAGCTTGTGATTGTAGCAACAGATGTTTACACAAACAAAATCCCATAGGTGCTGTGGCATAGCTTTGGCATATATTGACATATCAGAGCAGAGGTCGGAGCAGAAAATCAGCCGCCAGCCGTGCAAATTGCTTGCCATGTGTGGGTGGTCTCTGCCCATCTAGTCCGAAAGCAATCTATGAAGTGGTCCAGCCAATGCACAACAGAGCCTGAATTGATTCCATTGAATCCAAGTAGGACATATTGCTGGGCGCCTGTGTGTGATTGTTTATTTTGAATTGACCAAAGCAAAGTACAGGTTGTTGCAACACAGCAACAATCATTTCGGGCATCGCTTGATCCAATGACCATGTCACTTCAAGACAGGTCAAGAAGCATACTCTCACTTCAGTGCCTGCAAAACCTTTCTGTCTTGCCCAGGACATAGTCCACTAACCTTGGCCCAAACCACTGCTGCTAAGCATGGAGACGGCAGTCAGAGCGTGGATTGTGCCTCCTGTGCCATTCCGGCAGTGTGTTCCCCTCCATTATTCATAAATGCTGCGTGCCATTTGGGAGCCTGACAGGCAGGAAGCATTTTGCTGCACTGCACTGCTGAGGTTTGTCTGACGGCTGTGCTGTGTGGGCAGGTGCTGAGCAGGCGATTGAAGCCCATTGATCTGTTGAGGATGACTGCTGATCAAGTGTTGGGAGTCGCCCTCAGCGAGGGTGCCGACCGCATCGTTGTTGGGATGCCAGTAACTTTGGAGGGGGACATCAATGATAATAGGACAGACTCAAAACATGTGAGGGACAATTGTTGTTGCCTTGTCACTTGCCACAAGTACTGGGCATTGTACTGCCATTGTTTGTGGTTGCAGAACACAGGTCAAGCGGAATATGCAAATGTTGCCTTGTGTCGACCTCAGTCAATCAAGAAATGATCACTCTTGCTGTTGTGGTGCACAGCTACTATCAACGCAGTTCAGCACAGTGTTGTGCAACACTACAACTTGGTCCCAGGGGTGTCCACCATAGTGTAAACTTAACCAAGGCACAGACTGCCGCCGTAACACAGTGTTAGCTCCCTCACTGCGAGAACTGTTGTGGAGGTGACAAGGCATTGACCAGGTAGACTTCCAGATGCAGCCCCAAAAGGATTGAGATACACTGATCCCCCAGGGCTGGTTGAGCTGCGAAATGCTCATGCAGGTACAATGACAGTGGTGGACACATGTGTCATGCTTGTACACGTGGCATCGATGCATACACTGTGCTACTTGGTATCAATATCCATGGACAGGGACTCCCAGGAGGTAATGGATACCTACGCTGGGTTGTGTGTACTTACATGGCTTGGTCCCTTGATTTATCATTCGGTTGGAGGAAGTTCTTAAATTGAGCCCTGGAAATGGCAAAAATGGACTAGACACGGCCAAATGGAATTGCACAGACCACGAGTCCAGGCCTTTGCAACCATTACAAACAAGAAAGCAAGCCTGAATGCAATTTATCTTTCCCAAGTGCAGCACTGTGAGTCTTTGCCTCTTACCTCTCATTTGCGATGCGCCCAAGCAACAAAATGGGCCCCATGGTTACTAACGTCCTTCCTTCTGTCCCAGAGATCCCTTCCCTATCCTTGTGCGATGCCAGTTATATATTCGATCTTAGCACGCCACCAATGATCCCACCTGGCTCTCAAGCACTTCATATCGGCCCACGGCCGCGTGCTAAAAGTAGGCAAAAAGATTCCAAGTGTGACATCAAGTGCAAGCTAACAAGGCATTAGGCTCCATTATGACAGTGCCACATGGTCGTAGTCCTGGCCTCTGTCCTCGATGTAGTCTCCAGTACTTCAACGCGTATACCAATGCATACTAATGCTGGGTCATGGATTCTAAGGTGGTTTCGAAAAACCCAGAGAAAGAGCTTGATACTAATACAAGGTGGATACACATATTCGGTAATTATGGTACAAAACTGTATTTGAACTGATTCTAGTTTAAACAGAAGTGCTCATGATGATAGCTTCCCGCTGCAGCATTTAATTCACAGTATTGTGGACCAAAACAAGTGGCAAAGCACATGCAGGATTGGGCTCAAGACTAGCTGCAACTCCTGGTATTCAAATTCAAGATGGTTGATTGAGGCTGCTGGGAGAAGTTCTGCTGATGGCCAGCCTGCATTTGCTGGATCCACAATCGTGCTGATATTGATTGGGTGGCACTGGTTGCACTGACAACATACCATACTTTGGTGTGACCGTGTATCAGGTCTCGATTGTTTAGTCCACTGCTAGGGGCAAACTGATGGGAGTCATATGTGTGGGGATGCACAGGGTCGACGTTGTCGAAATTTTGCAATCACTTTGGCTTCCAAAGCCAGGCCACATGGAATGAAGATCTTCCTGTGCAGTGAGTATGCACACACCTCATTCCAAGTGTTGTGAATGTGGTGCCAATGTGTTGGAAGCGAATCCATTTTCTCATAGACTTGAGGGTCCATTTTGGAGCACAAGGAGTCATGGATAACCTCCTGGGCGGAATTTGCACGTGGCAGGACACTTCACTGATGAAGGCCATGGCAGCTAGACACTGTATTGCAAAGAACCACAAAATGAGGGTAATGAAATGTATTCAGACTTCCTGAGGTGTCTGTAAATGGTGCGGATGTCTTTAAAGTTCCTCAGCATGAAAGCAGCTGTTGATTGTCAGTGTGCACCATAATTTGCTTGCCACCTTGTATATGCCAGCCTTTGTCCGTGTTGTTTGCTTTTTGTGATCTGCACGTTGCCAGGCTTAAGTAGAGTCCTTGCTGCAGTTCTGTCATTGGGCATGTTAGGCAACAGGCAAACGTTTGCCGCATTGCCCACGGTTAAACCACCACTACCACTAGGCGATTTCCCAACCGCCTGACTTGGGTAAGATGGCATTACAATGGCATTACACTTGACTCAGGCGAAGTCAATGTTCACCACATTCAGTAGAGTAGGGGAGTTACTTCAATTCCACCCTTTGGCTAACGTGAAGGTGCTGTGACATTTGAGATATCAAGTGTTCTGATACATATTCTCCACGCCGGTATAGCCAGCCCGGCAGTCCATTGATATGCAGAATTGGTCAGACTGAGGAGCATCGGTGCTGGGCCAATGGGTTACTGCTTGCACTGCAAACTACTGGAATGATAGACATTCGCATGAAAGGGTGCTTGGCCCAGGGTGCTTACTGTTCTGAGTGGCTTAGGCACGATTGTGTCTGCCATGTTTGTTGTATCTGTGGCGTCGTTCCCTCTGGCAATCTGACGCACATGATTTGGTAGATGAGGCGGGCACTACGCTGGGGGCCGTCCGCAGTGACTCGCTAGGGGGTTTGGCGTCCTCGGATCTCCTGTCCCTGGAGGGAGCAGACGGCGAATGGCTGCCAAGACGCTTAGGTGCAAAAAACAAGAAGAAGGCAAAGAAGGTCAGGACTTTGGCTTTGCAAACCATTGCTGGATTTGCCACCTTCCCTAAATCCATCCAAGAAACTTTTCCAAGCGCACAAGGCATAATGAGGTGCCTTGGCAAGATTTGTTGATGCATCCATATTTGTGTAGCCGTATTAACAACCAGCATGGTGTATTCAACCCTTCCACGTATACTAACCCACGAGAATCTCTAGCGGATTGATTTGTCGTGTAGAATGCATTGAAGAGCAAAAGGTGCGATCGATTGGAACGGCGTTGTTGTATTTTTACTTGCGATCATATCATATACAATTGCGTTGCAATAATAATCTCATTATAAATTGCACCTATGCTTGGTGTCCACCGAGCGGCAATGGTTGCATTAGCACTGTCTCATATGTGCATGTGTTGCTGGCATTGTGCAGGGCTGCGTAGACGCAAAGGCGGCTGCACTGTTGCTGCAATTGTACCACAGGAGCCCGAAAACAGCGATTGAGGTCCACCCACCAGAAGCATCATGAAGATGACAATAACCTTAGGACTATGCGATAGGTGTCGAATAACATGCACTGTGTTCATCAACACCGCATTAGGAGCTGCCACTTGTGCATTGCAATGTTCAATGTGATGTATAGTTTTGTATTTGTTTTCTTCGTATTTTAATTACTGGGCTCGAGAACATGGACGTCTATTCCGGAACTCAAATGCCAGTCTACGCTTGGCTAGCCCAGGTATCACTCACACGCCAAATTGCGATATTGAGCGCATGGCACTGGTGAAGGTTTCCAACACCATTAAGGGTAATTGGGTAATACATTACATTAGGGTAATAACCTACGGTAAATTACCGTAGGAAACTAATTCAACACCTGCATCACTGCGTGATGCCCATCAGTTTCGCACCACTCACAATGTCTTCTTTTCTTTTCCGACTAAAATCGGTGCATTTAATTTGGGACCTCCACGCTCGTTCGCAGCAGGTTACTTCGGAAACCAGCGCCTCATCTTCTTTTCAAATGAATCGAAATATGCCAAAAAGTCAGATGCAGTACAAACCCGTGCACCTCCACGCACGATCCCGCGCTGCCAGCCTTGTGACGTCAGATGCATCCGCTCACGGCCACCTCAAGGTCCCTGCCACGCAAGCGCACGCACGAGGCCGGCGACGAGGGCCGCCGCCATGCAGCTCAGGACAGCACGTGCCCTACCAGGCCTGTACAAAACAACGTGGACGGCACTATGCTCTCAATAACCAACATGGACCTCTCACAAATGAGAGATTCATGTTGGAGTAATCGTCGTTGGCGGGGTAAGTCCCCTGGGTAGCGTTGCTCCCTCGGCGCGTTGGTCTGGTAGCCGCGATCCTGAGTAACTGCTAGTGCGGCTGATGTTCTATTGATTTCTTAAGAATAACGAATGGCTGTCCTTGTGACGCTGTGCTTCAATGACGGCATCTACTACGTTTCCCCACCATATCAAACCAACAACCCCAAATAATCTGACACTTCGATCCACGGTCCCTCAATGCACCTGCAGCTGCTAAGTCCCTGAGATTATCAGCACCATGATTTCGGGTCGTCCAAAGTGCAAGACCTTCATTTCTTCCCTCAGTTCCTTCATTCCCATTTTCTTCTCTTTCCTTCCCCAGCACGGATTTGCTTGCATCATACGAGCGCATGAACACCAATTGCATTCATCAGGTTCCCTCATGCCGTGAAACAGAACGTATCAAATGTTCCCGCTCCAACAATTGCCCTGGTGCCACACCCCAGGCAGATCACGCAGTGGGGATGTGCGCAGCGATGCATGCGTCATGCGAGTAAACTGCTCGATCACCAAGACATTGCGGCATTGCGCGGTCGAACGAACTCGACAAACTCAGCCGAATGATGCCCGAACCTAAACAGCTACACGGGTGCTACAGCACAGACCGCGGCGGCAACGACCCGCCCCCGTCGAGCCTGTGCAGGCTTCCGTACGTCATGGCTGGAGCCAACTCTGTCAAGGACGTCCGCAGCGTGAAGGAGCTAGAGTCCTTCCTGCAGGCCTCTCGTGTGGTGGGCTTAGCTAGGGGCGCCTGCAGGAACCCATGGATGTCAATCCTACTGCGCCTGCGCAGGAAGGAAACGTCCTTTGACCGAATCCCCGCGAGTAATGTCGAGTGCATGCGGCACTGTAAACATGGCGTCGTCAGTGGGGCGGGGATCGAGAGGAAGGCGCTTGGGAGATACACATGCTGCGAAGTGCTTTGTTTGGCATTTTTGTTATCCAACACACGAAACAAAAAAATCCTTCTACCCTTCAGGCGCTTGCTCAGAACACACGTTTGCGCACCATAGATTCGGAGCATTCAGCAGAATTTCAACGTCATGGTCAGCAGTCGTCCTCTCTTTTTCTTGGTTGCTCGACTGCTTATGGTCGCTGCACCCTATGGGCAGGTTGTTGCGCATTTTTGGGCGCCATGGAGCGAACAGTGCAAGCACATGGACACTGTGCTGCAGGAGCTGTGCAGAACTTACCCCCAGACTGGGTTTGTGCGAGTGAGTTGTTCCCAAGGCTGAGCGAGACTGAACGCACAATCGATGCCTTTACTTTGTTCTGGTTGATCTCCAATGTATCGCCAACCTGGAAGCTTATCCCCTGAATGTGGTCACCAGTATCCACATCGAGCCAAAACGTGAAGAAAAAATAGATTTGTGAGGCCTTTATTGTGCCAAAATCTCTTCAGAGCAGCCATTCTGATGCTTGTGCATTGACCGCAGATGGACAAGCAAGCTGTCCATGTCTGCAAGAATGGCATTAGTATGTGTTTCTCAATGGTCGGGAGCCTGGATGGACAGGATTGCTGAAATACTATATGTTGTCAACTGCTGCAGCTCACATAGCAACTCTCAGAACCTACAAAACACTGAATGTCTGGGGCCACCACAGTGCCATTCACTGCCGATGGTGTTCATAATCGTCATAAAGTTGTCTTGGTCCCCACCCACCAACGCCACAGCAGTGGTTGTGTGCTGCAAACCTTGCCCGCAATACTCTGAAATTGACTCCAGTCCACAACAGAATGGGATACCAGGGCTCTTGAGAGCATATAGTGTGATATCGTGTTGGCTCTGACATTGGCCACAAATGTTTGCATCCATCAGTGTCAGCAATGGTGACATGCTACCCATTATCAGGCACAAATGCATGGATGGGTTGATGGCACTGGCTTGTTCGTTTTGCATTGCAGAACCTTGACATTGCAGAATGAGAGTGGACTCACAATGCATTCACCGCAAGGCTACTCTTGGGGGAACCTGTGCACACTTTGTCTGGTGTCCAGAGCACGGTGTCTGCACTGCACATCATACCCAAATTTTGTGTTCAACATACTTGCGGCGCTCCCTTCACGGATTGCCTTCCAGCGATCTGTCTCTGATCGCCTTTATGTTCCCAATTGGAGCTGATGGTGCAGCTCATCACCTTGATGTTGCTCTGTGTTGATCAGCAAATGTACTAAAAGACTGGCTCTGCAACTCAGGTGGAAGCTGAAGAAGTTGTGGACCTCTCGGAGAAGTATAGTGTGGCAGTAGTCCCCCTGTTTCTTTTCTTTCAGGTTAGATGATGTGTTCGTGGTGCATTCCCTCACGCACCAAACAGAGGGAAGTGATCGAGCTCCAGCTGTCAGTGAGCTGTTGTAGTACTTCTTGACATCAGACCCCGATGGAGTGACATAGTTTATTTGCTACAGTGTTCGCAAACACACCTCCACATCCTGGTGATATTCAACTTCATGTGTCCATGCCGCCAAACATGCTGCCCTGTTTGCACTGATAAGGGGGTGATGGCAAAGCTGCGCATGTTCTGTGTGTGTGACTTGTGCAGCATTGTCTCACACCTCTGAAAGCCCAAATTACAGATAGCTTGCAGCTGCCGCCATGGCAACGGTTTGGTTTCTGTTTTGGTTTTGTTGCTGCAACACCACTGTACTTTGCTTGCGCTTTGTGCCAGTCAGGTCAGCTTGTTTACAGGCTGGAAGGTGCAGATGCTCTGGCATTGACAGAGAAGGTCCAAGAATACTCAGGCATGAGATCGCAAATTCCTTTGACAATCTGTTACAAATTCATGAGCTTTCTGCTGAAGAACATATGCTCCTGGATGCGTTCAATGGGCTAAAATCAACGAGACGATGTGGTGCATTTTAGAGTGTGCCAGTTCTTGTGCTCTGAGACCTGCCGATGCAATGTCCTGAGCAAAGTAGTGCCAAAGTCCTGTATTCAGTTCAGGAAAGGATGTCCACAATTCCATGGCTGTGAGGCATTGAAACGGGTTGTAAGGGACAGAACTGTGATGTGTATCCATGTCAAGGTTGTTGTCCCCATCGTGGGTATGTTCATGATGCTCTTTTTGTTACAAAGGGCAGGAAGATAATTTGCATGATCCCAGTCTTCAAAATGGGTACTTGCAATTGCATTCATGGATGATGTCCTGCCTGTCTTGTTCTGTATTGTTGTGGCGTTGGGTTGAAGTGCTTCATAAACCCTATGGGTGCCCTTGTTTCTGTGTGTTGTCAAGCATTTGCCTGTAAACTCTACAGGGACCTCCACTGCTGCACCCAACACTGAAGATGTCGAAAAGCGGATAAAAGTGATCATTGATTCAGAGCCCATCATGCTGTTCATGAAGGGCACACCTGAGGCGCCCCGCTGCAAGTTCAGCTCCAAGGTGGTTGGTGTCCTTCGAGAGCTAGGAATAAGCTTTGGGCATTTTGACATCCTCAGCGATGAGAAGATCAGGCAGGTTGGAAATGTGGGAGAACATCGATTCGGAAAACTCCAAGAGAAGAAGTCTTGGCAAACATACAACAAACAACTTTGCTTTGTTATATAGACACATGCTGGGGTGTTGAAATCTCGTTAGGAGACCAATTTTCAATGCGACCGTATTGTGTGCACTCCTGTTATGCATTCAGCTCTTGGGCTGTGATTATGGAGAGCATGCTTTCCCGTTTCTGGCAGGCCAGTGTGCGAGGGCAGCGAGTCAAGTGCGGTGCAATATCTTGAGCAGGAAACGGAAAAACATTCAATAACTGTAATGAGGTTGCATCTTGCCCAAATTCGGATTCTTTGAGTGCGGCCAGGGTGCATATGTCTTTGCAGATATGACATTTTGCAACTGCACAGAAATCGACAAAGGTCAAGTGCAGCTTCAGTGCAAAGGTTCACAGAGCGAATTTGGGCTGGAACATGATTGGGGCTGTTGGTGGTGACGAATGCAGGGCCTGAAGGAGTACTCGCAGTGGCCAACGTTCCCCCAGCTGTACGTGAAGGTGAGCGGTTAAGCTCCAAACATTATGACTTCAGGGTTGGGAGATATGCAGAGCGCGTGTTCCTGATATCTGTAGCTGAATGTACAGAGTACAAGCATCTCTTGAAGACTCCAGAGAAATTCAGCTTTCTTTGTCGTCAGACACAGAAGACACACATGTTTTGCCTCTTTGAGAGTACCCCGTGGCGCTCAAACGGAAATTAGAGCAGGCGGGATTGACACCTTTTTAAAAATAGCTGATAGGAGAGTGTTTCACACTGTTGTGTGGTTTGTTTTCAAGGCGGAGTTCATTGGGGGCTGCGACATTATCCTGGAGATGCAGCAGAGTGGCGAATTGCGCAAAACACTCGAGCAGGCTCTGGGACCTTCTGTACAGCCTGGTGACCCAACTGCCCGGTTGAAATCTCTTGTCACCAGGAGCCCCATCATGCTGTTCATGAAGGGGTCCCCCGACGAGCCACGATGCGGCTTCAGCGCGAGGGTGGTGGAGATGCTGAGGGGGGCAGGAGTCAGTTTTGGGCATTTTGACATCCTTGGGGTGAGCCACAGGCAATCGACACATCATGATCCCACTGTAGTAATGTCAACATGGCCATTGTTGTCTGATGTAGACTGATTCGGACATTAAAACATTCAAAGACCACCTCCAGCAAGTTTCCTGGTGCCTCTTGCCCATGATGGCATTGCGATGAGCTGGACCGGTGGACAGAATTCTCCCAGGACGATGGTGCATCATATGACAGTGAAGTCCTCCATCATGATGGTGCTTGTGTGGCACGCAGGACGACACTGTGCGACAGGGGTTGAAAGAGTACTCGCAATGGCCGACGTATCCTCAGCTGTATGCAAACGGCGAATTCATAGGCGGCTGTGACATTGTCACCGAGCTTGACGCAGCTGGGGAGCTACTGTCGACCATCGAGGCCGCCCAACAGGCTGCCTGATGCCAAGAATGAATGACCATGCAGCCTGTCATGGGAGGTCCTGCGCCGCGACCCCTTCGCTTTCCAAGGAAGCACTGGTGTGCATCCATTGCTGTTCTGGATGTTTTGAATTGCGAAGGAGGACGTCCAAGCGTGTGTTGCAGGAAAGCGTATTGGCGACTGCACCAGTGATACTGTTCGACAGTCTCCAGCTGTAAGTTTGGAGCAGTGTGTTGTTTGAACACTTCCTTTACCTCTGTAACATGAGAGAGGGTGCTGAAAGACTGCATGGAGTGCATGCCATGGACCCAAGGCGACGAGCGCATTTCTGCCGAGCAGAGAAAAACACCCCCTTTCGGTTCACGTGCTTTCAGGCAGGCAACACCGACTGACAAGAAACCACTTGCGTTCATGGCAGTTTGCAACTGACCATTGTAACCCCCAGGCTTGCAGTATCACTACAAAGTCTGAGCACGAAAGTGCAGGCTAGTTCTGAGACGGCAACTACAAGATATCCGATTCTGTACTGGCGGAAAATGTGCATGTGACACATGGCGCAAATATTCGCACAGGCTTTTTGCGGGTGAGGGGTCCTCTTCGAAACACACAGCCACAAGAACTGCTCGCACTGACAGCTAGCTGAGGCTAGCGCATGACGCCACGCCTGCAGGATGCTGACAGGGTCTGGACAGGAACGTACAGGCTCGCACTCAAGTTCACAGTCGGGCTAACAGGTGCTTTAATCCGGTGTTTGACCGTTATCTTCTGTTGGTGTAGACGGCCGGCCTCGTCCATACTGCGCCCTTGCCCCTGCACATTCTCCTGCGCGCTCACTCCCCGGCAGCGAAGGACTGCCTTTCAGTTCAGTACTCCTTGGCGTATTGTTTTTATCGGTGCTTGTCCTTTTGCTGACCCCACATTAAGGCAAACCTTAGATTATACAAGGGCATTGTTTTCGAATGATGCCTATTTCGTTGCGTCCCGTGTGGCGCACCATCATCAATAAATCTGACATATCAAGGTGAGGCGGCAGCTGTTAGCTTGCTGTTTCACCCCGGAAAAACCGGTGTCGATGATTTGTGAATGAGATCCGGTGAGGCCCATACACTCGCGGGCCTGCCGCTTGCCAGCACGCCGGGCGTGTTGCAAATCACTTCTCGTGCTGCTGTGCCTTGCCCCCCTAATGGTCCAATTTAGCATGCTTCGGGCCCGGCACATTGTGAGCGCGGGCCTTTCATGTTCAGTAATGAAAAATTGCTGCTTGCTTGGTTGCGCCATTGTTCGTTTGTGAGGCTGCTTGAAAGAGAAATCTGTCCAGCTTCGGTGGTCATGTTCTTGCGATTCTGGATCAATTGCATTGTTGCTGCATCGGGTAAATGGTGGGCCAACGTGCCGCTTTCCTGTGTCACCTACCACCAGTGTATCACAGCCGTCAGAGCCTGAGTTGCTGACATCCTGAGCAACGCGGAGAGATTCTGCCATAGGTCCGTCCTTGCGATCTGAATCCCAGTAATATCTACGAGGGCATTTTTGTACAAGCTGATGGAAGCCCGTCTTGCTCGAATTGCCATTCTGTGGCCATATTTTGCACATGAATAGCACAAGAAAGTTGCATCTTGGGCCATGCAGGCAGCAAGGCCACTAATTCAGACATTCTGTTCAACCGAAATGCACGAGCGACAAAACTGATCCAGGCTTATGAGCCAGTGGACTGATCAGTTTAGCGACAAAAATACAAATTTTCCCAAGTGCAAGTATCGAGCAACGTGCCGTTGGGCGTCGTGGAGCCACTCGGTGCGAACAGCCGCTTGCGCCACTGCGGCTTTTGGATTCTGTCTGTGCACAGTCGAACAGCGTGGAATAGGCGAATCTCTTCGTGCATTTTCAGCAACCAATGCTCCTACACTGTGCTGAGGCGAAGGACATTTGCATGGTATAAATATGGAGCAATACCTGCTGCTGCTTTGGCGAACTGTGCAAATTAAACAACGCTCAAATGATATGCGATTTTTCTCGTGCATACCCTGTCTTTCCAAGCGATGCCGGTGTCTGGACGGAGATTTGGCCGAAACGATATGCGCATTGTAACCTTTCAAAAGGGGCACAGGTTTCCACACAATATCGCCGGCTGGAGTTAGCTGGCAGGAGCGGGTAGTAAACCCACCTCCGTTGGCCTTGTTCAGGCCCCCCGTTTGCCACAGAGACAAACAAATCACCAGCACAGCCCCATTTGGTGCTGTTGCGTCCCTTTAATGTGGGAGTGGTGCAGACACAGACGCGGCTGCCAATGCGGCTATCGCGATGTGCCCCAAAAACGTCGACTTGGTTGGGCCCCTTTGAACAATTGTAAATGTGAGGACGTTGTATGTGTACAAGGAGATATGACATGCATGGCGTACATGGTGCATATAAAGGTGGTGACAGTGTATGACAGAATACGACTTGGAGTCGAACGCAGTACTGCGTATTTGACCTGCAGCGTATCATGTTAGCCATCCCTTTGCGTGTCTGCCTCCCGTGCCTGGGAACGGCCGTGAGAGCGAGTGTGCCAAGCGCTGATCAGTGTTGTGTGTCGCGATAGTAGACAACGCATTTGTCAACATTTTGGCCACCCACGTAGCTTCTGGCTACTGGTTCTTAGCTTTGAGGTTTCTGAACCTAAAACTAAAGCTGAAGGGCTTGTGTAGTTGGGCCGCAATCCTAGTACTTTATGTATGACCGTCAGACCAAGAACAAGCCAACACAGCTCCAGCTGACGGGCTTCGCTTTGCGCCCGGTGCAGTGAAGCAGAGCTCAGCAGAGCAACAGTAGCTGTGGTTGACTGTTCGAAGTCATCTATCTGCAGTTACAGGGGCGGCGGATTCGCGCAGATGAGTGCGGTGAGTTCGCGGCTTGACGCCCCGAACAAAAGTTCAAGATATCGCAAAGATCAGGGACGCGCCGCGCGGCTTTCCCCGATAACGACTTCCTCAACATCTTTGTGGGGAGTTGCCCTCCTCGTGCCTCGTGCTCCCCAGCCTGAGCAAGCTTGACTGACGTCTGTGCTGGCCGCAGACCGTCCCCGTCAACCCGAAGCCTTTCTTGAATGACCTGACCGGAAAGACGGTGATCGTCAAGTTGAAATGGGGCATGGAATACAGAGGTGGGTGAACAGGGGATCCTGCTGATCGAAACGCCGGAAGGACCGAAAGATGAGACTTGTTGTGCTGATCCTGAATCCTCAGTATTGTGGAGATCCTGGCTGATATCCACCATTTGGGACGATGCACGCGTTGTTCCTGTGTTTTTGATGCTTTTGCATCAAACTGGTGCAACTGTTGGGTAAGGTGAATGGCAGGGATTTGCTGGAATCCTTTCAGCATCGATCGAGGGCCAATGGGTACACCAGGATGCCGTCCCACAGGATTCTTGTCAATGATGCAAGAGGAAGTGACCCACAGCCCCCTTCGGGTGCCGAACGTTTGAATCTCGTTTCTTCTCCTGAAAAGGCAATTGAACACACAATCATGCAATGAAAGAAATAGACATGCAGTGATTTTTGGATATCCAGGCATGGCCTTGTGTGGATTGTTGATGGATGCATAAAACAGAGTACACAAGGCAGAGTTGTTTATTGCTGGACACGAATTCTTCCGAAGAATCAGCTGGCATCACAGATGCATGGCGTTTTGTGCCTGCCAGTGCATTTTTCGGATGATAAGATTCTCTTAAATACACAAGATGTCATCTCCACCCAAACCATGTGTGGAACTGTTGTATTACCAATTTAAATGAAGTGCACTCTTCTGTCTTGTGTCTGCCAGGCTACTTGGTGTCAGTGGATTCTTACATGAACTTGCAGGTGGGGCAGATTTTGTTGACGCAAAGAATTCATGAATCTCTTATCGACTCACCTCTGACAGCGTCGATCAGTTCCCACTGGACTGCATTCCAAATGAGACCTTTGGCAGGTGCCTTCTTGCAACTTTGTCTCTTTCTGCATTCCATTTTGGCACAAGATTCTTGATTGGTGTGCTCAGCCACTGGGCAAAGACACAGACAGTGCTTTTGAATTGCCTCAGTTCCTAGGGCGGGATTCTCGGTGTAGCTATGCATGTTCGTCCTATTTGTTACAGCTGCGACAAACGAGTCTTAATAAATTTGGTTGGTGTTGCTGTGTTGTTGCATTCAGCTGGCAAACACTGATGAAATCATCAATGGGGAGAAGACAGGGAATCTGGGGGAAGTACTGATCAGGTGATCACTTGTTTGATGTAGGGATTTGCCATTAGAATTGTGCATTTGTGATGCTCATTTGAATGCAGCGCACATCTGACAACCCAATGAAGTGGACAATAGCAGCAGTGATGTTGCCATGAAGCCAGCGCATTCTGTGTGCGTGCCCATTCAGCCGATTGTCGATTCGCTGTCACTTGCTGCAGTAGTGTCAGAACTTCAGAAGAAAGACACAGCGTTCATGTTTTTTTGCTTGGACTTGTCTTCAGTAGTGTAGTGATTGCGAATTTGTTGTGCCACAAATACACACTTTTCAGGCAGTAGCTAAATCCCTTGGTCGAGGCTTTGTGCATGCAAGTCTGTTCACTTTGCATGCGCCTCTTCACTTATGCAATCTGCAGGTGGCATACAACAAAAGCTGGCACAGCAGGCTTGCCAAATAGTATTGACTGACTTCTTCATGTATATGTGGCAAGTAATTACCAACTCTTGCCACAAATGCCATAGTTGCAGCCTTTTGGCCACCTTAAAGTCATGTTGGGAACAGGCAAAACAAATTTGTTGGTGTCAGCGATTACGACCAGTAAATATATTCCATCTCTGTTCGACACTCCTTGAGTGCACACGAGCTGCTGAAATATCTGTGACTTCCAGACGTAATCAAATAACCATTGGGGCTGTGGGAAACTGCACGTACCAGGAGACATTTGGCATCCATGTGTATAGTCAAAACGATGTGCACATATTCACAACTGCTGTGCAGCCCTGCCTTGGAACATTGTCCAATGCCAGATGTTGTCAACATCAATTCTGACCCCACAGTGCCCGTGGCCCAGGTGCAACAATGTGTTGTACATACGAGGTGTGGAAGAGGAAGAAGTGTAAAGCAGGCTGGAAAATCACCACATAGGTGAGAAGGCGCCCTCCTCTTGGCGCAGGGAACCGCATAATGGACACTCATCGCTGTATTGTCCTTGGCACCTCCTTGCAGCAGTTGCATGCTGAGATGTCCTCCATATCAGGAAAGCTGTGCAGAGGGCTCTGCATGTAAGACGCTTGTAGAGCCGCTGTTTGCCTTGAAATTCTCTTGATGGCAAAATCTGGAAGCTGTTAGCTCCCAGGGGTTTAGAGGCGCTGGGGCGGGTGCTCAGGTGCACTGCATGCGATGCGTGCCATTGTTTGATGGAGCTGTGACGACTGCTGCTGATGACGTCATGGTATGAGTTTTTTGTTGGCCTCTGGCTTCTGCTGGGTGATGTCAGCTGTAGTTTGGGCAGGTGCAGTTTGAGTGCCGTTGCAATGGCCTGGGTCACTTATAAGTGGCCACAAAGTATATGGCCACCTCTGTGGTGGCACCTACTGCTCTTCTTTCCGCACGTCATTCTGGATGGTTTGCTATGGTGTGCGAATGACCGAAGCGCATTGTGCCACCGCTTCCCCTTTGAGCGAGAATACCTTCAGGCGAACAGGATGGTGTTGTGCATGACTCTTGGTGTGCACCAAGCGAGCGACGCCAAGTCTTATAAGCTGATTTTGGGATCCCGTCGCAGCTCGTGGATGCCTGTTTGCCGAATCAACTGCCAGGCCAATGTCCAAGGGCGAGGCAGCAAGTGCAGGAAGTCTCCGTACAGAATGCTAAAGTAGGGAAGGCTTTAGGGAATGAAAAGGCTTCAGCACTGCAAGCCTGTCGCCAAAGAGCCAAGGATAGCAGCGTTTGTACCTGCAATGCACGTGCTGAAACCTTGCAGTTCTGCTTTTGGCGCAGCGATCTGGGTAAGAGACTACGCTCTTCAGCAAACGTTCTGGCGAATGGAAGATAACTGAGCTTGGCGTGATTCGAAATGCGCCGTAGCCAGGGTAAAGGGAGAGGAAATGTGTGGCAACAGGTGGTTCGGATGGATGAATTATCTCATTGGCCACAGATGTCCCAGAACTGTGGTCAATTATGGACTCAAGCTTGTGCTCCATATGCGCTTGTCTCAAAGCATCCAACGGCGCCAAAACGCCAAATCTTGTTCCATCCAACGCATCCAGGTCACCAATATCTGCGCTGCTACGAACCTGCCTTTAATCAACCAAAAGTTCATCTAATGAGCCACATCAGGCAAATACAGAGATGCACATCTTCATTCACAATACTGCATCGCCACCAGAAGCCGAATTTGGGCAAGCAAAGCGAGACCGCAAAACCCTTTCTCTGAGACTATGATCGACCTTTGGGCATTGCCCCGCCTTGCACTCGCCTGCAAGGCGGCGCAAAGCCCACATTTCTTTAGTTCGAATATGTGCTGCAGCTGCACTCGCGAGTGCACCGCATTCAGATCTGAAATGCGATGCAGTGGTCTGGAACGAAAGAAGACTGCCAGCCTTCCAATCCCCCCCCCCTCCCTCCTCTCCCTTTGCGGCTGGTGGCCCCCCATTCTTCCTCGCCCTTTTCGCAGGGACAAGCCTTAAACACGCAGCCAAGCTAGATTTTCCCGCACGAACACAGCACTCACAGAACTATCCTCACAGCAACTAGGTACGACACTGGATCCCAATGTATTGAAACTTTTAATCGGGGATGAAGAAATTTGCAAACGCGGCCTCAGTTGGGCGATATCGTTAAATTCTACGGAAAACCACAAGATATCAAATGTGCGACATGCCCCGGATTTCGGACCTGCACGGTAGGGACGCCACTGGCGAATACCACGTTGCGATCCCCAATGTGGTAGGTTACCGTCGCGTAATAGAATTGCTCATAAGTACACACAATGATGTCTGTGTTATATTCCAATAAAGGACAGCAATTGAGAGCACATGGGCGCGACTGGAAGGAACTAAGAGCAATGTGAACCAATTGTGTGCAGCGCTGTGCACCAGGAGTTGACATTAAAAGCGAGCAACCGTGGAGCCAATCTCAACAAAAGCTGCGATTGCTTGCAGTTCTGATGCTTCCAAGAATGACTTCGCTGAATAAAGGCCTGCCCAGATGGGGCCCACTGCGCCTTTTTCTCCATCATGTCACATAATATACCCATCTCAAGACTGGGGGGGCAATACGAACATACCTAAGATCCAAGGTGCCCATGCATTTAAAACGATGGTTTATGAGTGTTGGCAAGGCGAAAGGCCTGCTCTTTCCGAATTTGCAACAGCCTCAGGCAACCTCTGCTGCAACCTCATCAACGCACTTGTTACCTTGGAAGCCGTGTAGTGCACCCACACGGGAATGTTCTCAGACCATTCTGACCATTCTGGACCAGACTGGCCCAGAACATTCTAAACGTTTGTCCACTCAGGCGCAACAGACCAACGCCCCAATGTCATACAACGGGACACAACAAAACACTGCACCAATAGCAATTGAAAAGCGTTGCTGGGTAGAAATCGATGCCCAGTGTTTATTCATATCATTCATCGGCCATTCGTATCGGGTCAAGCTTACCCATATTCGGTCACGCGTCACATTCCCACCGTTTCTCCATTAGCCATTGGGCTATAATCAATTGTAGCGGTTGCCACCTGTTGAGAACATTCATGACCATCGACAAGACCCAGCATTACAAAATTACCAACAATCACCCCATGGCGAATGTTGTTGCGTTAGCGCCCATAAGCTATGGATTGCTAGTTCACGAAACAGCAACATGCTGTTCCCTGGTGGAAGCACAACCATAAGCATAAGGCATGTTGTAGGTCTCGTTGCACACAGAAACCAAGGGTTTGGGTTGGATGAACATGGACACTCCTTCAACAACAGAAAGAGAGAAGGGCAAAGAAGTGAAGAATTCCGCAGCTTGATTCCGGTGTTCTGACTCCTGTACCCGTCCAACACGGAAAACAGTTGATATGTCCACATACACTTGTGCATCTCTTGTATTCTAATGTGTCCATGACATTTGTATAGTTACATATGTAACCATGCACTAATGCATTTTCGACGGTTCAATGTTTTTTTAGCAAGCGCGACCATACGATAGGCCAATGTGAATCTTTCTGCGCCCGTCGTTGCTGCAAATGTGCAAGGTCGTAACTTGGTCGTTTTGCTTTATAAATGCAAACCACGGAATATCGTTCAGTCAACCAATACTTGTATTTCCATATTGCTGCGTGTCGTGACTGCTGTCACAATGTCACCCCTGCGACAATGTGAATTCTGCGAATTTGGCCGATGTAATGCCTGTCGTACAACTAAATGGCTACCAAATGGACCCAATTTATATATGGACGGCGTTGATTGAATTCATACAGTACTGTATCGCCTTCTTCACCAACTGGGACAGGCGTTCAGAAGCAGGTCGCAATCCAACCCCAGTCCAGGTGCACACCAGCCTTGCAAGATGCTGCGAAGCCGAGCGCTGTGGGCAACCGCCGCGCTGCTGCTGTGCCTGGTCGCAGTTGACGCTGCCGACTTTGGAGGCAAGAATGTTGTGAAGCTCACGCGCAAGAATATGAAGGAAGTGGTACGCCACGCGCAGCGAGTTGACACGTGCTTCGCAACGACCAGCCGTGGACGCGCTCGACGATCTGGGCTATGAGAAAATGCACCTCTAGAGAACAGTTCTTTTGTTGATGCCCTTGATCGGTTCCGAAATGCGTCCAAATTGTTGCTCGAGGCGCTTCGGTGCGTTCTGCGCAGTTTGCCGGCTTTGGCTCCACAGCGCAGTGGCCCTTTTTTCCTGACCTCACCAAACTGTGTGTATGCGCTTCGGTTTGCGCAGACCGCCGATGGCAGGCTGTGGTTCATCAAGTTCTACGCTCCCTGGTGTGGTGAGTAAGCAGTGAGGTTTCCGGGTTAATCGCGCCCACCCAACTATTGGCCGCTACCCCCAACCTACAGTGCCCCGAAGATGGACAGGATTGGGCCGCGCATGATCGCTTTTGGCTTAGGTATTCGTGGATGCTGGGAAGCGTCTGAGATCGGCTGTGTGCGTTCGTGGTAGGGCACTGCAAGAGGTTGGCCCCGACGTGGAAGGAGCTGGGGGACGAATACGAGGGCAGCAAACAGGTCGCCATCGCCCACATTGACTGCACGGCGGAGAAGGCCATATGCAAAGCAGCGGACGTGAGTGCCTGGGGGCGTGAAGGCGCGTGCGGCTGTGGCCAGTGGCAGTAGCCCTTCGGCACCCAGATGATCCCACAACCTCTTTGCTGAATGCCGAACGCCGTGCTGGCACAGGAGTTTGTGTGCCCTAGTCGCTGTTTTCACTACAGTGAACCCGGCAACTGATGTGTCAGTCACCAGCACACGCAAAGACAACTCTCAATGTCCACGTCCAAGAGTCTGGGCCCTCTGTAGGGGCAATGTTCCCTCAATTGTGTGCCCTTGTGTACACTCTATTCTATTGCTGATCGGTTTGATGCTTACGATTGAGTCCATGTAGGGTGTGTTGCTGATAGCCAGTTGTTGCATTCGCTTACAACCACCGCTGGCTATCAGGGGCTCACAGATGCCTTTGTGACGGGTTTGCCACTGGTGGATTGTGATCAGCTATCTGCTTGCAGGCTTGCGGGCCGTTGCAAGTCGTAACGAAAATGCTTGCTCTAGTGTTCTGTTGGTTGTCTGCCAGTTGGTCAGTGGGTGGCACCGAGGTAACCTGGCTTAGTCAGTGGGTGAGGGCGGCTCTGCTTGGCTTGAAAGCAGGATGGTTTGTCTGCCAGGTGAAGGGCTACCCCACTCTGAAGTTGTACTATGAAGGCAAGATTTACAAACCATACAAAGGTGCGCACGCCACTTTAGTTTATTGCGACGCTAGGAACTTGAAGTGCTGATCGTGACATTTGGCTGTGACGGGGAATTGGCAGTGCGGCAATTGTATTGACTGTGTGCATTGTGGGAAACCTGAGCTGAAGTTACTGTTATCCTTGCTGTTTTTGCTTGCGGTTCCAAATCACTGCATCACATTAAGAGTTCAGGCTCCAACCCCAGTCTGATTGAGGTATTGAGGGAATGGTCCCACCTCGCAAAAAGGTGGTGCGATGTAAAACCAAATAGCGACTGCATGGAAACGAATGTACAATCCCAACGAACAGAGGTTCTTCACTCCAGCAGGGGAGGGGGCCTTGGCAGATCAGAAACAGTGGTAAATCGCAGGGTTTGTTTGTTCTAATGATCCAGGTCAAGAGAATGTGTTCTTGTTGTTGCATGAATTAGATTGCATGGATTACCAAGCTAGAAAAACTGTCTCCATCCCATCTGTTGATCTTCAAGCAGTTTCACAGCATCAACATCCATTTCCGAAAGGGTCCAGCGTTTTATGGGCAAATGCAGCAGGATTGCTAGCTCTGGGCAGTTCCTGTCGCCATTCATTTGGCTGTGCTGCCTTGTGACTGTCTCTTTCATTTGATTGCGATGCTCCCATCCAACAGGTGGGAGGGACAAGGCCAGCCTCAAGCAATTTCTGGATGGCTCAGCTGCTGACATGATGACAGAGACTGTCTCATAGAGCTGCATTGCACTTGTTGTGGGATCTGGTCTCCGCTGTCACTGTGAGGATCAGAAGTGTGGAATTACGACAGTTTGTGTTCTTCCTCAAGGGCGCTTGTGTAGTGGTAGTTGTTTTGCATCTGGGGCCTGCCTCCCTATTGGATGGTTGTGTGTGTAAATCTTTTGTTCCCTTGTATCTGCTCGGATGAAACGATCCCAGTCACCTGCAGGGCGACCCCAAGAGGACAAGATCGGCACCATTGTTTGCTCATGATGTGCATGTGGCACCCAGCTCTGTAGCCAACCCACACAAATGATGCCGCGACAGAGGACAGTACTGGGTGCATCGTTAAGCTCCATAAGGAGCATCATTAACAGAGGCAGGGTACTTTGCGCCAGCACAATAACTTCAGAAGTTCCAACTCAGAACTGGCGCCAGCCCTTTCTATGGTACCTGCGACAGCCTCTGGCGGTCTCTGGAGAGGTGGTTTAACTGTCAATCGATTGCCTGCTTGGCCAAAAAATTTCCAGACCAGACAGCATCCCAAAGGGGGTGCCTGTGCTTAAAGTAAAGGCCGATTTGTGATTGTGTTCCTGGACTCTGTCTCTGAAAACATGGCTGTGGCAATAGGTCCCATGGTTTGCGGGCTGGCTGATGCGCAAGCAAGCAGAAAAGAACTGTGCAGCAACTGAGGGTCGCTGTGGACGCACCTGTGCCTTAAAGAATGCACACAAGGTTAATCTGGTGCGTAGGTCAGCACCCTTGGCTGTACACAATGTGTACCGACGATGGTGCAGACCTGCACATCGGACCAACCACTGTGTGTACTACGCACAGTGGTTTCAGCTGGTCTGTTTGTTGCGGGCGGGAGATCACTTGCCAGTCTGCAGTGTTGGCTGTGCGCCCAGCGTACCTGGTTGCAATACGGTACGTAGCACAAACAGCGGCAGCAAAGGCCTATGTACCATAATTGTGCCTGTGTAGTGTTCTGCTTGAGGCACGTGCGCCTCAGGGAGTGGGGATATGGAAGCTTTGTGAGGGTTCGAGTCCACAGCGGTAGTTCAGCGCCTATCTTGCTGCTGTATCGCATCCGAATCCTCGCAAAGATTCCATGCTGCCTCTCTCCGCGACGCGCCCGCTCCACAAGCATTCGCGCGTCAGCCTGGGGCGATGCCCACTCGATGGCATCCCCTTCGCTGGGGATTGACGCGACAAAAAAAATAATTTGGAATCGCAAACGGCGCCAGCGGAGATGCGAGGGAGCGCCAACGCCCCGCAAACGGCACAAGTCCGCCAACGGATAAAAAAATATGACCCGTGGAACTTCCACGAGACCAAGTGCAAGTTCCACGGGGGCTCCTGCACCGCCCCGTTTGCAAGGGCATAAAATTACTCCCTGCATCAAATCGGTGACTGCTTGCACGAAAACGGTGACTGCTTGCACCAAGTCACGTGCACATCATGTCCAACTCCGTCAAAACTAACCTAACCTAAACCCTAAACCCTAAACCCTAAACCTAAACCTAAACCTGTCCTAACCCTAACCCTAACCCTAAAACTCACCCTGAACTAAACCTAACCCTAAAACTGAGGTTAGGACAAAGTGTGCACGTGACTTGGTGCAAGCAGTCACCGATTTGGTGCAGGCAGTAATATTATTTCCCCCCCTCCCACCCCACCCTCATCGCGTTGCGCCAACCGATCGCAATGAGCAATGTACAGGGTGCCGACACCCACCCCAGTGCGTCCGCGTCAGCATTCCCCCAGCCCCTTGCGTGCTCGCGTCCGACCATCACAAACGGCCCAGCCCCCAACCCGCCCCCGTTTCTGTCGCGCCTGGGCTCGCGCCAGGCCTCCCGCGTCCCAGAAACCGCCGCAGGCCCGCCCGGGAGCACAGCCCAACGGGCGTGGCGGCGACCGACCCGCGCCCCCGCTCGCGATCTGCATCCCGCGGGCGGCCGGCACCATGGTGTGCCGCCCGTCGGATGGCGCTCTGGCGCAGTTCGCATGGACATCGGTGGTACGCACCCCCGCCCCCCCGGCCCCAATCCGCGATCCCCCGCATCGGGATCCCGCCCGCGCCTTTCGCGTCCCAGGTCGCTGTCTGTTTCCTCGTCTGGCGGCCAAGGGCTGCGTGTCGGCCGCGAGCAGCCTCCGAGCAGGCCGAGAGGCCCGCGTCCCATGTCGTGTTCCGGTGACAGCTGCCGACCACGGGTGCCGGCGCACGCACGCCCCGCCGGCGCCGAAAGATCGCCGCGGGGACTCCCGAGTGCCGAGCGACCCATCCCCGGCGCAAGGTGTCCCGCTGGAGGCTTCCAGGGAGGCCGGATGCCGTAATCTGGGCCGTGGGCGCTGGGCGCCGCCTGCGCCGCTGCGTAGGCAAGGGCGGGAGGGCGCCGCGCGGCGGAGCCGACAGCCGGAGCGAGCTGCAGCCAGGGCACAGCCACAGCGGGCCGGCCATCCCCATGCTGGCTCGGGCCTGCGTCGCCCGTCCGACGACCCTGGGCTGCGCTCTGCGCGGACGGCCTGGCCGGCGTCGCGGCCTGATTTGGAGCTTGCGGGAGCGGATAGGAGGGGCGGCATTCGGCCGTGTGTGAGGGGGGAAGGGATGCGGGTGGGGCTTGGGCGCTAGGCCGCCCCGCTGCGGCGTCCGAGCGTCAGCGGCGGGATCGGCAGCCCCGCGGTTCGGCCGCCGGGCGGGCGAACGTCCGCGCTGGGCGGCTCGCGGCGCGACGGCCGATCGCGGGGCGGGAGTGTAGGAAGGGGGAAAGACTGGTGTGGCGGCGCTGCGGTCGGTGTTGCGGGGCGGGGCGTTCCGAAGCGGGTGCGGACGGGGAGTGTGACGCGGTGGCTTGTGCGCGCAGACTTCCGCCATCGGCCCAGTCCTGGTGGCGCACGCCGCGATGAGGAGGATCAAGGGGGACGAAACGAACAAGTCGATGGTGAGAAGGCATTGGGACTGTGAGGGAGGGGGTGCTGCGGTGTGCTTGGCTGCTTCGCGACTTTTCCAGGCTGGCTTCCCAACGCTTCCCGCGGCAGCTGTCGCCCGACTTGGACGCGGGGCTTCCTCTTTTTCAGCCTTGTTCAGCCTTGTTCAGCCTTGTACTCTGGTATTCAGGGGGCCAAGCGGGTTCTTGGGCATTCTTGTTGGGGTTGGGCGAGGTGGCCAGGCGAGTTGAATCTGAATATGCTCTCCTGGTGTTGACAGCTTGAGCGTTTGGGGTGGAGCTCGGAGCCGAGACCCCCTGGACCCCTCTTTTGGTTCCATGCCCAGTCAGTAGGTGAGCAACCTGGGCATCTCTGGCTCTTGCATTCTGCTGGTTATGCTGCTGTGAGTACACAGGTTGTGTGCTCTGTTGCTGCACCTCATCCTTGTTGTGTTGCATCCACACTGATCTGGGTGTACTGCACAGGGGAAAGTGCGGTGGCGCTGCCTGTGATTCACAGATGTCTTTTGGTGAGTTTGAGCTCAGAGGCTTGCTGTAGCCTGCCACTGCAGGCTGGACTAATCCATGTTCAAAAGAACCCTTTCTGCCTGCAGTGACTGTCACAATCCACAGATTGAAACGGGGTTTTTTCTCATGCTCTTGGAGCTGGGCTTTGCAGTGGGTAAATTTTGTGTGACTGCATGGATCATGGCTGATTTGAATGCCTGAATGGTGCATGGTGACAACACAGGGAAGGTATATAGATGCGAGTCAACCATTGTGTTCTGGTCAAATGGCTGAGAACTGCAGACAAAGCCATTAGTGACAGTACACAGCACTGGAAAACTCATGGCATACATTCTTGGCCTGCTCCGCTCCATGAGACCGCCTGTTTCTGCCTGGTTGACATTGTTTGACTGTTGCTGACCAGGAATATGAGAAAGTCAACATACTGCTGACGACCTGCACCTTGGAGGCATATGCACTGTTGTCTCGAGCATTACCTCAACGGGTGGGCACCTTCATTTTCTCTCCAGTCCTTGTGATTGCGGATCTCCCCACTCTGCCTGCTGCATCTCAAGGTGCAGTCAGTCAGGTTTAACCCTCCATCCTCTTGCAGGTAATTCTTCAATACGCTCCCTGGGACCTTCCTTTTGGCGTTCAGCTCACCGTGCTGCACTGGAGGCCAGATGTTGTCGTCTTTGTGGTGAGTGCCCTCAGCTGTGTTGTGGCTGATTGATGTGGTTGCAGTCGTTGTTGCAGAGTCAGTGCTGGCAACAGGTAGTTGGTTTCATGCTGTGGCCATGGACAGTGTCCAATATTGTTAGCAGTGCCACATTTTTGAAGGGAACAGGTCACGGTGTTTGGAAGTGTGTGGGGAGAGTGGAGGTTTGCGAATGTGGCATGCAAAGAACACCATCAGTGAACTACTGGATGCAAGCTGTCCAGTAGCGTTATTGGCAGGACGTTTACAAGAGAGCAGCTGTTGGCACTTGGCAGTGTGCAAGGCAGAGTGGAGGCTTGTGAGCATGGTGTGCACAGCAGAACAACCGAGAACAGGTTGATGCAAGCTGTTCACACTGATGCAATAGTATGCACATGGAGGTCATTGGTGATGCATGCTGGCATGGCCTTGGTATATCTGGGTGTCTATTGTGTGGCATCGTTTGCCAGCCGCTGTACCATTTCGTTTGACAAGCTGGCATACTCCCAGAATTTGATCAGCTGCACCCCAATGCAGGACACTTTTGGCAACAAAGGCATGATAGGTGTCCAATTAGCGCTCCAGACATTTTGCTGAAAGTTGCAAGCTGTTTAGTAGTTAGTGTGCCCTAAGAACCGACATTGAACTACTACAGCACCTAGAGTTTCACCAAAGGGCTTGCTGCACCAGTACAAAGTGGGGTACGTGAGATGCAGAGCTACAGCAGCACAGGACTTTCACATTTGCTTTGCTGCTGGGATCAGTTCTTCTTTTTCCTTTTGATAAGAGGCATTTTGATGAACAACAACAGCAGTCCACACAAGCTGTGTGCCAGTGTGGGGTATGATAAAAGGATACAGAGGTTTTGAATGCTGAAGATCCCAGAGGACAAATTTCTTTGGCTGGATTGATTGTGTTGAAACAGGCTGAGACAGTAGTGCAAGGAGCAATGTGCTGCACTCGTTGTCCCTTGTCAGGATTGCGTGCCACATAAAATTGCATATTGTTTCTGTGAGCCTTTCTGACACCCTTACCAACAGAGATCTGGAGATACAAATGGTACATGCTGCGGTGTTGTGAGTTCTATTGCCCACCAGGACACCTTCTCTAATGCATGAGGTCACATGTCCTGGCGCATGCACAGTACTGTGTTAATGCATTTGTCCACCACTGCCTTGGTTGACTGGTGTTCCTGCTGCAGTCAAAATGGTGCGTGCGATGCGCAGGAGTCGGTGCTGTGGCCCAACTTGATTGAGGCCCTGCATCAACATGGTTCCCACCTGGCACTGCTCAACGCGCGTTTGTCGCCAGAGACGTTTCTGCGGTGGCACACCTGGAGGCACACTGGACGGCAGTTAATGAAGAGGATGATGTCGAGATTCGACCTTGTAGTGCCGCAGAGCGATGTGGTGAGTGCTGTGCCTGCTGCTCAGGTACCAGCCAGTGTCAAGCACGGAGCCCTCTCCTTCTGCTTCCTCCAGTTCGTTTAATTCCATGTATTGCAGCACATATTTTGATTTTAAGGGAAAATCGCACAGGAGGCTGCCTTGTGGTTGCTGCAACGGCAATGTGAGCAAAGTCAATACAGCTCAATAGTCAGCTGTGTGCCATCACCTGACGTTTTGGCTCCCCCTGGCGATGTTTTTTGCTCTTGTGGCCAAACCTTTCGCCATCTATACCATTCCTGGGATTTTGAGTTTTAAAACTGTAATCCCAACACTGCAGCTTGTGCCTCCTTGCATTGCGAAGATCAAGTCCTGCAGTGGTATTCTGAACACTTGCAACAAATGGTTTGTACCGTGGCATGGCGGCCATCGCTATCTGCAAGCTACAAGGGCAGTGGCTCCGGGGGGACAAACGTAACCCACGGAGTGCTGCTGTGGTTGAGCCTCCAAATATCCTGGCCGTTGCTGCAAATGCTCAGAACAAGTGGTGCAGGTGTGCAGCTGATTATGTGCCAAGAAACCTCTCAACCTTGCTGAAATAGGAGCAAACATTGTTTCAAGACACGCATGTGGTTTTGTGTGTCGTCAGCGCTGTGGACTGTTACCTTGGTTGCTGTAGCATCAGGTAGTATGTTTCATGAATGAATGATTGACTTGTGAGTGACCTGCCATCCATCGATGCAGGATGTTGGCAGGTTTCGCATGCTGGGGGCAACGATCCCTCAGATGCCTGGCTGGTGCACAGATCTAAAGTATGCCGCTGCAATGGGGGCATGTGTCTGGGAAATGTGGAGGCCCTCTGGATTGAGAGTGATGGAAATAAAGAAAGGTTGGCTTGTGTGGTGGGACGGAACAGAACACCTGTGGTTTTCTCGTGGTGAAGTGCTGACGGGACATGTCCACCAAACGACTCTATCTGCCACCATACGAAAAAAATTTGCCGTTTTGGCCTGTTGGCGATGAGAAAAGCGTTTCTGCACCTCCACTGTGCAAGAATGCGCCTGAACAACTCAAGTAACTTGCATTCGCTATTAACTGGTATATTTTTGCTGTGAGACTGTGTGCCAGAATCTACAAGAAACAACACTTCCACTGTCCAAGCGATGATGGTGGTTTTTCGCAATCTTTGGAGTAGTTCCAAACTGGTTGTCTGAGTGACTTGTGAGCTCCTTCCCAACTTGAAATCTGGTTGCTAAGAACTGCTTTCCCTTCATGCCCACAGTTACAGTGTTTGGCAGCATTGGTTTGAACAGCCCACCTTCAGATTGGCTGTGGAACGATGGTGCCTGGCATCAGCATTCGCCATAGTTACCGCAATATGTCTCTTGCTGATATGAGAATCCAAACCACAGCATCTGGTTGCATTTGTGCTACCGGCTGCCTCCCAATCCAGTAACCTGTCAATTTGTGTGTGGGTGTGTGAACATGCAATGTGGAGGATAGTATCTTGGAAAGTATAAAATCCTGGGGTGTGTTTTCTGTCTGAACGATTCCGTTATTCTCTCATATTTTGCATTTAGATTTTCTTCCTTGAAAGCCATCCTGAATTATTCCTACTCGCCTTTACTTGCCTACCTACCTGTTTACCTACCTGTTTTCAATGTCTGTGCAAACGGGAACGCTCGTCAGCATTTGCATTCTCCAATTTTCTGGGGCCCGTGTGAGGATCGATTGGGTGATGTGCTACTGTCAAGCCTGAGGCTGACAACTAGTTGCTTAACAGGCGTTGCTGGGCGACCTCTGTGGGTTGCTGCTAGCACTCACGATGGAGAGGAGGAGTGTGTGGGCAGGGCTCATCTCATTTTGGCAAAGGAATGGCGCAACTTGCTGACAATCATTGTGCCCCGTCACACTTGGCGATGCCAAGAAGTGGCAGACAAGCTCTCCAGCATGGGCCTCAACGTCAAGTTCTGGTCTGCAGAGCCTCGATCATGTGAGTGGCTCGCACTGCTGCATGGGCCCTTGGGCACTGTTGGCATTCGCCATTGAGGCATGTAGGAGTCAGCACCACAAACAAGCAATGTTGTGCTTGCCTAATCCCTGTCAGCTTCATGATCACCCTTGTACTATCCTACGATCCTACTATCCCCTTGTACCTATACGATGTTGGGTGTTGAGGGGTGTGTGGCTTCCTCTGCCATGACGGTAGCATGGGCCACGTGGGGGTTAGTAACTGACACTGAGGATGCCGAGCCTGAAATGCCGCCAAACTGTCGTGCACAAGTAGTTTGCAGAGGAGCACATGAACTGGAGCGTTGCCGCCACCGGCTCCAACAGGCTTGCTATTGTCAAGTGGCAAAGTGTCCTGTTCTCTGCTGCAGCTGCCTTGGTGTTTGGGTACCTGCCATCAGGGCTTCAATGCTTGTGCAATCCTCCCGAGAATCCCGTTGCTGGTGAAATATGCCTTGGCACTGTGATTGTGCGCTGCAGGCAGTGTTGGCCTTTTCTTAACGTCTCTTTTGGGAATAACTTGAGTGTCTCGTTGTTGGAGACTCATGGATCTGGTGCCTGCTGTGGTGCAGATTCCAAGGTTGATGTGTTCGTTGTTGACCTTGTTGGCGAGTTGCCTTTGCTGTATGCAATAAGCGAGATAGCCTTTGTTGGCGGTTCATTGATGGAAGGTGAGTCTGTGCTGTCCCTGTCATTTGCGGTGAATCACACTTCGAGAGGTTGTCCTTTTTGAATTTCTAGCTTGGGCCTGAGTCTGCCACTCTTATTTTCACTTTGTAAATTAGCATGTCCAATGCACTATGCGGCAAATGCAGGGCACAAAGAATCAGTAGTCGACAGTGTTGGTACTCTGGCCTACTTTCCAGTGGTGTGGCATACCACTTGCACTGAATGCTGTCAGTCCTGCCTTTTGCATTGTTCAAACCTGTGTACTCCATGCGCACTGAGGTTCCCAGGATTGTGGCTGTTTGTTTGTGCAGGCAGCTCTGGGCACAACCTAGCAGAGGCGGCTGTCGCAGGTTGTGCTGTGGTTGTGGGAATGCATGCCGGGCATTTCAACCGCATGGCAGGTATATACATGGCTGAAGTTTGCACCCACAAAGCATGGATCGTTACGCGTTTGCTGGAAGCGCATCAGATTTCGATCCTTGGGTGGCACCTAAAGGTGGTGGCTGTGCAGTGCTGCCAGTGTGCGTAGAAGCGAATTTGGATGCTTGGGTTGAATGTCCGCATGACCCAGGTCCAGGCAGCGTTTTGTCATGGCTATGTGTGCTTTGTTATTGCCCCTTAGGCCACAATGGGTGCTGAATTCCATTTATGTGTGGTCACGCTTGTGTGCGGTCGATCAGTTTTCTGAACGGAGTGAGATGGTTCGTCGTCCGCCTGGGCAGTTGCAGTGTGCTTTGCATCGTTTTGCTTTTGGCAGTGTGGGCATGGCAGCATGGGGAAGGTGAGGGCATCTTATGTGGATGTGCCGCTTGTGTTGCAGATGAATTGAATCAGGCGGCGCTAGTGGCTGCAGAAGAGGCTGCAGCTGTTGTCAATAATTCAGGTGGGTCACACACTTGGATGCTTGGAGGTTGTCTGGTACCGTGCCTCATCAGTGTCCCAGTGCCTATTGTTTTGGGCCCTGCTATGTGCCTGACTGCAAGCACTGTGCTCCCTGGATACCACAACCCAGCAATTGCCATCAAGTGCAGATCAAGATGGCATGTGTGTTCGATGTGCATCTTATTCAGATCTTTGAGGGAGCTGTGCTTATTGGGGGACGATGTTGTCCCGCTTATTCTGGACTTGTTGAGGATATAGGATGATAAGGGCAGTCAATTTAAATCTGCACAGTTTCCAGTGATTCTGGAACTCAGATCAAGCCAAGCAATCAGCACTGGCTGGAGCCTACAGCATGCCATGGATACATGACACACGTGCAGTGCAGACAATGAATTGGATGGCCAGCATTATTATCCTCAGCATGTACACTATGAAGACAGCATGTTGAGCAAGGGCATTCACAGCATGGACACACTTGCAGCCAATGTAAGGATCCTGTAATTCAGTGGTGACTGGATGGCATAGATGTAGTTAATGTTGCGGTTCCCATCAGTTATATCGGCTGAATGCCATAGTTGATCGTTCTGCCTGCTGAGTTTTGTGTTATCCAACTTGCAGTATTTGTTTTGTGCATGTTCAGTCGCATGCTGCCTGTTTCAGAAGCATTGCTGGCTGGTGGTGCGACATTGACAGGGAATGCTTTGCCTGAAAGCTGAGTTGCCAGTAAAAGCAACAAATGGATCATCTGTTTTCATGGCTGTTTTCCCTTCCAGTCCTGATTTCAGCTGGTCGCTGGGTAATGAAGCTTCAACATATGAAGGAGTGAGATAGTCGCCAAAGTATTGCATACCCTGGACAATATCCAACTGACCAGCTGCATAAACTGTGCTCAGGCGTTGGTGGAATTTACGACGACTACATTGAGGACGAGTCACAGGGGCCCCAGGATCCGTCCCAGCCCGCCGTCGCTTCCCCGTCCTCTGCCCTGTCCCCCTCCCCCGCAGACTCCCCCAGGGCAGCAAACCAGGTCAGCACAGAGGGCCGCACATCGTCCTCGCTTCGTGACCGGCCTGCCACAGCCCCTGCCGCCATGGCGTATGCATGGGAGTTTGAACCATGGCAGGAGGCTGCAAGGGGTGCCGGAGAGCCTGGGTGGCTGGGCAATGAGCGGCACGGCCAAAGAGACTCGCCCTGCCGGTCTGGAGCCAACGAAGGTCCGGAGCACCTCAGGAGGAACTCAGAGCCAGCCAACCGGCTGTGCAGGGATCCACAAATGCGTTTGCCAGAGGAAGCAGAGAGCAGGGGAGAAGAGGACAGGGCAAGCACATCCCAGTGGCGCAGGGTGCCGCGTCCCTCCCCGGAAGGCAGCTCTCAGCTGTACACACCTGCAGAGAGCTGCACAAAGGAGGATGGAACTGAGGCTTTGCAGAGGTGGGCTCGGGTTGACCGTCGTTTGCTGCATGCCAATCGCCCTTTTCGCTGGTGCAGAGCAGTGACAGTGGTGTGTGAATTGTTGTGCATTCAGATGCAGGCAGTGGGTATAAGCGCGATCGTCGTCATGCTATCCGTATAATCCCATGCACCTTGCTTGTGGACTAATGTCGACTTTGCGACAGTTGTTTTGTTGTGCTATGTTGCTGTGGTTGATCCTGTCATTTCTTGGCAACTGGGTGCAGATTGAGGCCGTAGCAGAATCAGCACTGCAACGTATGTTGGTTGTGTAGGGCTGTGTGAAAAGAGCAGTGTGTGAACAAAGTTGTTTCCACAACTTGGGACTGCGTTCCAATTGTCGCTCTTGCAGCTTCTGACATTTCCTACTGCCATCAGGCTCTCGTTGGACAGTGCACCGCCCTCCACTTCCTTCACTGAGGACTTGCCAAGCAGCAGGGATGCCACCCACCGTGCACACAGCTGGGATCGCCCGAGAACGGGAAGCGCAAATGGGCTCAGCATCTCTGAGCTGCGGTGTGCCTTGACACCTGATGCCACAGAGGGCACGCCTGCCGATTCAGGCTCTGGAAAGGTTCAAGGCGTCCAGGAGAAGTCACGGCAAGGGTCCACCCTAGTTAGCGGAGAAGCCACCCAGGACCCCTCCCGACGGAATGGATATGCCAGCCCCATTCAGATCAGAGACAGCCCACTTGTGAGCGGTGCTGCTGGCCTGTCCGAGGAGCACCTGTCTTTGGACACAGAGGACAGCCCACGTGTGAGCATCATCGAACGCAATGCATTGGAGAGCCCATCTGAAACCAACCTTGAATGCCATCTGGTCTTGCCAGATGAAGGCCCCAAAGAGGGCCAGGATGGTATGCGCTTGAGCCTGGGTGAGGGTGGGCAGAGCTCCGTGTGCCCATCGCCATACCCTAGTGCTGCATCGAGGCCATGCAGTGGCGTCTCTCTGGAGCAGCCCCCGCCTTTCACCCACCTTCCACACCCCACTCCCAGCAGTGGGAACAGTCCCACATCTTTTGCAGAGACTCCTGTGTGGGCGCAGGCGACACCCATGTCAATGGGTGCTACTGTTGATGGCGCACCAACCAGGTCCCCATGGAGAGCTGCCTCAGCCACAGTTTCGCCCACACATGGGCGTCATCTGTCGGGTGTGCCCCAAACGCCCTCAGTGTCGCCACTTGCTGGTAAGAACACTGCCATTGTGTCATCGATCGTGGATCAGGTCGCAATTTAGCTCTCAAGTTGAGCCTGTGGAGCTGAAGAAATATGTTGGTTTCCATTCCAGACATAATTGTTTTTTTTTCAGCTCGTCAGGTGGTGCACCCAGTTCTCCTTTCCCTTCTCTCTGTAGTCTAATGTTTTCCGCACCTCTGTTGGTTTCTGTGCATAGTGCAGCATTTGACAGCGCTGCGAAAATGGTGGCACTGATTGTTGGATGTTTGTCCACTCCCTCAAAGGTCACAGCCGTAGAGACAGCACTGGGACGGACTTCGACCTTTATTCCGGTCTCTCCCTTCGCTACCAGGGCGAGTACATCCTCCCAGCAAACCACCTGCCCTACGCTCCACACGGGCCAGCAGTGTGGCGTGTCTCTGGGGAAGTGGGACTGGCAGAGTCCATCGGCACACTGTTGAGAGAGCCCCTGGAGCGGCGATCCCGCGGCCATGCTGCAGCACAGGCAGCTGCAAAACTAGCTACGGGGCTAGTGAGCACCGTCTGGAGCGTCCTTGACGAAATGGTGCTGGACCCAGCACTGCGCAAGCACCAAGAAGGGCAAGAAAGATGACAGTGCTGCTGGAGCAAACACTAGCGACGTCTTTCTCAACCTTATAATAGAGTTAGTAGCTTGGACTGTCTCTTGGGGCGGCGTAGGACGAGTTTTTGTTGTTGTTGATTTGTTTGCTGGGTTGGAGTGGGACGCTGTGGTTGGTTTGAACTCTGCACTGCTCAAATCTCACCCGTCGGAAGTGTGTGACACACTTTTCTTCACAGGTGGGATGGACGTGCTTGACGCGATCCATCTGCGAGGTATCCTTCTGCATGGGCGGTTCGAATCTTGTTGTGGGATGGCTAAAAAGCACGACACATGCTGCTGTGGCACTCTGGCTGGCGAGTTGGCGACAGGCCTCGTTCAGGTCGCCGTGGGGGCACGAGTGGAAGCACCGCACAGCATATGGGCTGCCACAATCAGGTGGACATAATTGGATGATTCCAAGTCGTGGAGTGTTGGAAGCTCCGCATCGTTCAAGTGTAACTTTAGAGGTTGGGCGGTCACGATTTTTTGTAAGAACACGGATACGGGGCTCTGCTGATGGCGTGGGACCCCATCTGCTGTTTCGATGTGGACGGAAGTTTGCTTGCGTGAACCTCCATCTTTTGCTTGGGCTTTTCAGGGATGGATCACGATCTCCAGGCAATTGCCACCCGGGCACGTAAAGCATCTCTTCAAACTCTACTACCCGCTTCCAGCAGTGTTCTGCAAGCGTTGCGGAGCCTTGTAGCTCCTTTGAATCTGTGAGAAATGAGTAGTTTGGGGGGGAGCTGATGGCCTTCGCTTTAATCCTGCGTTTGTCTAATGGGGTCAGAGAACGAACAACGGCACATCGCTGAACCTCAACATTACCTGGACGCACTGCAGAGCAGCCAACACAGGATAAGTTGTCGCTGCTGCTAGGCCCACCAATGGCGGCGCACATGTGCCGGTGCCTTCGCCGCGATAATCATCATCATCATCATCAGTTTTGTTACACAACAAGGCAATGAGGTTGCCGTCAGCTTCCTATTTGGCCGGAGCAAAGCAGTGTCTACGATGAGTTCATGAAAATCTACTGTACAACACAAGTACAGTCTAGGAATCCATGAAACCCTGATACCAAGAAGTGTTTGTCTATGATAATACATCAAAAGAAGTGTCTTTGCCAGTTGGCCAGCGGGAACTGAAGCAAAAGTACTTTGGGATTGCGATGTCGAAAGAGTTGATTGGGCTCGACGAATGTCATCGTGCGCGTGGCAGCGGAAGACAAAATGAATCTCATCTTCTGGGACTGAGTGGCACAAGGGAGACAAGCGCCTTGAAATTTGGAATATATTGGCGTGCTAGGTGTTGTCGCGATAGTCACCTTGACGAGTTTTACACCACATCCACAATGGGCACTACCAGCGCGAAACTGGAGCGGGCAAATTTCGAAACAAGATATGACTTCAGTTCCCGAGACGTCGCGCACGCGAGCACAAAGGCTGGAAACGGCCTTCCCGTCCACCCGAGAGGACGCCTCCCAGCAAGCACCGCGGGTGCGCAAGGGGTGCCCATCGCCCCGGTGCCTGCGATCGCAGCTCAATCCCCGTTGAAGCGTATAGAGACACACGTTCCGCTCGCGTGGACGCGTCCCAGCCCTCGCCAGCCACAGCCGTCGCGGTCGCACGCCGAATGGCGCCCCAAAGCGCGTTTCGCACTCTTCGCACGGCGCGTCTCGGCGTGACGCGCCCCCGCCCGCCCCCCGCCTCTCGGGCTGCCGGCCCACGCTCCACAAGCCCCGACGTCCCGGCGCGTCGCGCCCCTCCGCTTCCGCCCGTCAAGGAGCTTCAGCTCGCACGTGAACAGACGAGGTCTCGAGGTCTCGAAATTCCCCCTTGCACCGTCCCCACCCCAGCGGGGAACCCGTCCACTCAAACGGGCGTGTTGCCCATGTTGGCGTTCGCCCGCGGCGTAACAGGCAGACAGCGAAGGAGCTGTACGCCGCAATGTCCTCACCCGGTGTGTCATCCCCCACACCAGCCCAACCCCCACGTTTGACGTTTACTGCCGGCCAGACCGCGGCCAGCCCACGTCATCAGGCGCTGTCGGATATAAGCCATCGGCCACACCCCTCCAAGCCCTTCCCCGTGCGCCGACGGCTCCGCGCGGTGTCCCCCGCCGAAGAGCACATCCCGTCGGGCCGACCGCGCAGAGAGGATGGCAGTGGGGGCGGGGGCGCGGGGGGGGGCGCGGGCCGCGAAGGGGGATGGCGACGATTCGCCGCGAGTGTCGAAGCGCGTGGCACGGCAGGAGGGCGAGGGGCAGGAGGAGGGCCGGCGCGCGGCGTGCTGGGCGGGCAAGCGACCCGGGACGCCCGAGCGGGAGCCCAAGCCGGAGATTGGGACGCTTTCCGACGCCAGCGACGCGGAGAGCTCGGCAATGGGCGGCCGGCGCACGTCCGGCGAGGCACGGCTCTGGGGCCTGGGCACAGGATCGTGGGGAGCGTGCGAAAACCAGGAGACGCTCCAGCGCGACCTGAAGGTGATGGAGGACGCCCTGCGGAGCATACCCACGCCGCAGCGCGCCGCCCTGGCCATCCAGGGCTTGCTCAGGCATCCAGAGGTGCAGGTGGCGCTGCGGACGTACGGCACGGGCGCCGAGTTGGGACCACCAAGAGAGGGGTGCGCGCCGGAGCCTGCGCTCGGGAGCGGCCCGGAGCTCCACAAGTCCCCGTGACGCCCTTCCCCGGAGGGCGGACGGGGGCTGACGCCGCGAATCGGGGGCCCATGCCGTGCGGCGCGGATGGCTGTACCGGAAGCGTGCCGCGCTCTTGGGGTTCAGCCCCCGCAGCCGTGGCGCATGTTGGAGGGGAACCTCTGATGGGTACGAGCGGCGTGTTTCGGAGCTCACGGCCGCCTGGCGTGGGAAAATGGCGAACGAGGATGTGTGTTTGCCGGAAGGGACTGCGGGGCGTCGTCCGGTGTTTGTGTGGAACGCGCCGGTGTTACGAGGCGTCAGCGTGTTGCGCGGGGGGCCGTTTTCCCGGCGGGGGCCCGGCGGGGGAGCCCGAGAGTCGTCGAGCGCCCTTGTGGAACCGCCCGCGTGCTACGAGTCGTCAGCCGGTCGGAAGAAAAAGGGAGCGGGGAGGGGCCGCGGGCCTGCCGATTGGTTGCGGTCCGAGGGTGCTTTTTCAGAAAGGGGGAAGGGGGGGTGGTGCGGATAAGTTCATGACATTGCGGGGGGAACCCGGTGTCGCCTGGGCGGACACCGGACTTGATGGTGTTTTTTCTAAGCGCTACGACATGTTGTGGGTTGTGTCGGCACCCGAGGTGCTGTCGGAACCAGCAGTACTGCGCTGTCGGAATTATTTCGACGTGCGGGCACGAAATTTGGGTTTGAACGAGAATGTTGATGGGGCGTTGGGCGTTGGGAGGCCGGCGCTATGAACTACCGGGCACTTTGATAGCGTGTGTATATGGGGAATGGCCCGTGGAGAAATGATGGGATGGGACAAAAGAGCCTTTGGGCACCTTCTGCATTTGGGGGGCTTCACCATGGATTAGGTGGACAATAAGAAGCTGCTGACACCATTTGAAGGGTGTCATTTGGCGGGCGCCGTAAACTACTGTATAGTTTAGGACCGTGTGAGCGTGGAGAATCGCCCAAAGGGTAAACGATTGGGATGAACTAAGATAGCCTCCAACGACCACGGGTAAACGACCGGGATGAACTAAGAAAGGCTCTGCGAGGTATCCACCTAGGGGGGCACCACCTGGGTACGTGTGGCCACTGCTGAGGTGTTGGAATCAGTTTGAGGTGTGGGTACGTGTTTAGGCTTGAATGTGGACGTTGAAAATGGTGTTGCGAGGTGAGCGCCGCAAATTTCTGTGTACATTAAGACTGCGTTTGCGCGGAGTCGCGCATGGTGATAAATAACTGGGAGGAGCTGGGATAGCCTCCTCGAAGTCACCGCCTTTGCCGGTTAGACCTGGGTGGGTGGCAATATTGCATCGTCGGAATCTGTTCGACATGTGGGTGCACACTTATGTTTGAACGATGACGTTGAAATGGATGTCGTGAGGCAGGCGTCATGGACCTCTGCCTGCTTTGGACCATGTGCTGTTGGGCAATCGCCCACGGCGACATGACTGGGATAAGCTAGGGAAGCCTACCCGAAATATTTGCCCCAGGGGACTTTATCTGGGATTGAGTGAACAGCACCGTGCTGTCGGAATCAGTTTGACTTTAGGGCCTACTTTTTGGTTTTGAACGAAATGCTAAAGGAGGGCCTTGAGGCTGGCCTCACGAGCCACTATGTACTTTTAGACCATGTGGTTGGGGGGACCCGCGCATGGGGAAATGAGCAGTATAAGTTGTGATAAACTGTGCGAACATCCGCCATGGAGAGCTTCGCCTGGGAATGGCTGGACGGCACTGTGCTGTTCTAATCAGTTGGACGTGTGGGTGCATGTCTGGGTTTGAACGAGGACGTTAGAAAGGGTGTCGCGGTGCTAGCGACGTGAACTATTGCGTACTTTAAGATCCTGTGTGTGCAGGCTTGGAATAAATGGCGAATCCAAGTTCTCTCCGCGGCTTTATGATTTGTCCATCCAAACGTATTTACGCACATAGATGTGCCGTCTGTACATAGCGCTGGACACCGTGCCGGCTTGGTTGAATTATGCCGCCCAGAGGGTGCCTCAGGCCGAGAAGAAAACACTTTAGGAATATTGACTGCACACGTGCCACCTGCTGCTACTGTGACGATGTAGAACATGCTTGCGGTGGCCCAGAAGAGAAATGCGGATGTATGCGCATGTCTATGGGCTCAAAACGTGCACAAGTTTATAAACATGTCCAGACGTGCAAACGCATGTATCAAGCCTGGGGGGCTTAGTGGGGCAATTGCCCTTTGGGAAATAACCAGGTTGCGCAAAGAACGCAAATCCAAAGTAGAGGCATTTTAGTGTTCACCTTGGAATGTTTCGAAAGATCCGAAAGGAGGGACAACATGGCAGCACCTGCCATCAACATTGCCCAAAGTGCGCTCA